AGCGGACTGGTGTTGTGGGGTAGCCATAAAAACCTGGGGCTGAACCCACTCAAAACAGTGGAGATGACAGTGGGCTTCAGGAAGAGCCCCCCCCCCACCTTCCCCCCCCTCACCATACTTGGCAGCACTGTATCAGCAGTAAAGTCTTACAAGTTCTTGGGCTCCACTATTTCCCAGGACCTGAAGTGGTCATCCAACATCAGGACCATCATCAAGAAGGCACAGCAGAGGATTGAACTCCTGCTCCAGCTCAGGAAGTTCGACCTTCCTTCCTACCCTCTGGATGGCGTTACAGGTCACTGTGCACTAAGACAACCAGGCACAGGGACAGTTTCTTCCCCCAGGCTGTCACTCTGATGGACACTTAACCAATGACCATATAATTGGACAATAACCCTCAGTGCAATACCTGTGTATATATACACTGTACAGATTATACAGACTCCTACAGGTCTCTAGTACTCTGTTTTAAGTGCTCTATTTTTATCCCTAATTATCTCATTTCAAAGAACATCCCTTTGTTGTCTGCATTGTTACTGTCTACATACCGCTTATTCTGCATTGTTTTACTTTCTGTTGCTTGTAAATACAGCTTATTTTTGTTATATCACACAGCCTGTTTGCACATTGAGAGCCGATGTACCAGAGTCAAATTCCTCGTGTGTCCAACACACCTGGCCAATAAAGCAGATTCTGAAAGCTGATTCTGATTCTAATCCTGTATTCCCTTATCACACCCGGACCAAGGGCAGAAATGGAGGAAAATGCAGAATATGTGGTAGTGAATGAGTGGGAGGAAGAGCCGGAGTTTGAGGAAGAAGAGGAAAACGGCAAGAGGAGATGGAAAAGGGAGAACCACCAACTTGGACCAACCAATGACTGGTGATCAATGAGCAATTCTTTGACTTTTATTCAGTAATGTGAGAGCTCAACTATAATAGATTTAATCAGAGTAACAATTTAAATTGAAGATTAAAAATAGATTTTGTTGATTTATAGAGCTGTAAGTGAATCAAACAAGAAGTGTTGATCATTACTGATAAGTTGCATCACTGCTGCGCTCTAACTCTTTAAATCTATATTAATTTCTAAACATTAAACTCTCTCTCTTTATTGTGTTATCTATGTTATTATTTCAGCTGTAGTAGAGTGTTTGAAATAGTCTGTACTGGTGGTTAAAGCTGCATATGATGTTTACTGCATAAACTAAAATACAATTAGTTTAAATGTGGTTAACCTCTCGAGTTAAGTAGTGACGACTGATTAACAGAATCAGATCAATAACTTAATTTTCAGAATTGTATCAGAATATATTTTAAATAAATTAGTCAACTATCTACTGTTTCCAATTTATATATTATAAACTGAGTGTCCAATCCCAAGAAGTAACTGTCAGCTTAACAGTGTACAATAAAATCATGGTCATATGTGGCCAGTGTCACAGCTTTTATGGGGTTTTCAGACAAAACTCGACACTTCCTCAAAGAGCCAGAGTATATTGGTTCCTAAAGCTTCTCAGTAGAGTAACATCTGAAGGTATAAGGAGGGAGCTGCCTATAACTGCAGGTTGCTGTTATTTGGGAGGTTTAGGGGTCTTGTCCTGAATTAATGACATGTAAGAGGGAGGTCTGCAGGGAACTCTGTTTGCAGGTTTATGGTCATCAATTACTGAGTGAATATCTCTCCCAAAAACCTCAAGTAGAATTTGGAGCTTTAATAGGCTTCAAATATGCCGCCTTAGTGTGAGAGGTTAAGCTTTATTCCTGTGTCCAGGGGTTAGTAGATCATGACCTTCAAACAGATGCTGTGTTGGGTTCAGGTCTGGACTCTGGCTGGGTCACTCAAGGACTTTCTCAGAGTTTTCCTGAAGCCACTCCTGTGTTTTCTTGGCCTAATGCTTCAGGTCTTTGTCTTGTTGAAGTGTAAACCTGAGGTCCTGAGCACTCTAGAGAAGGCTTTCATTCAGGATTGCTCTGCTTTTCTGCATCCATCCTTCCCTCTATCCTGACTAGTGTCCCAGTCCCAGTCGCCACAGCCTGATGCTGCCTCCACTGTGTGTGACTGTAAGATGGTATTAGTGAGGTGATGCTCAGGCCCTGGTTTTCTCCAGACACTGTTGGAACTATGGCCAAATAGTTCTTTGTTTCATCAGACCAAAGGATTCTCATGGTCTGAGAGTCCTTCAGGTGCTTTTTGCCAAACTCCCAGCGGGCTGTCATGGGCCTTTTAGTGGGAGTGGTGTCCGTCTGACTGCTCTACCACAGAGGCCTGGTTGGTGGAGTGCTGCACTGATGGTTGTCCTTCTGTAAGGTTCTCCCATCTCCAGAAAGGAACTCTGGATCTCATTCATAGTGACCCCTGGGCTCTTGGTTAGCGGTCTGACCAAGGCCCTTCTTCCCCGGCTACTCAGTCTGGCTGGGTGACCAGATCTATGAAAACTGGTGGTGATTCCAGATCTCTTCCATTTGAAAGTGATGGAGACTGTCATGCTCTTGGGCACATTCATTGCTGCAGAGATGTTCTCGTAGCCTTCATCACATCCTGTCTAACAGGTCTGTGGACGGTTCACTTGAGCTCATGGCTTTGTTTTCACTCTGACATACACCATTAACTATGAAACCTTATATAGACAGGTGTGCGCCTTTTCCTAATTATATGCAATACATTAAATTAGGCACAGGTGGACTCTGGTCAAGCTGTAGCTCATCGACCACTGATAGGAGCAGGATGCTCCAGAGTTCATTGTACAAGTGTCATAACAAAGGGTCTGAATGCTGATGTAAATGAGGTATTTCAGTCCTTTCTTTTTAATACATTTACAAAATGCTCCAAAAACCTGTTTTCACTTTGTCATTGTGTTGCACTGTGTGTAGACTGAGGAAAAACAGAACTGGATCAATTTAAAGATGAGCCTGAAACACAACAAAATGTGAAAAACCGGAGTCTGAAACCTCCCTGTACCCACTGTAGGTGTTATTTATCAGAGGGTCAGAGGTCACAGTGACAGACGAGACCAAAGTGTTTTCTTACTCTGACACTGAGGCGGACTGCTGCTCCACGACCCATCAGACTGACAGTCCACCTGATAGTGATCCAGAAACTCACCATCCTGAAACTCAGGTGTAAAACAAGGGGAAGTGAGACTATCATAAATGTTAACAAGCCAAACACTTTTACATAACAACCATTCCCATGAAACCAGCATAGTGATTCAGGTTCAGCACCGATTAGGCACTTTCTGTTCCTGCTGCTGTGCTCTTATTTTGGCAAAGGTTGGATTTCACCTTAACAACTAGGGGTGTGATGATACAGTGAGCTCACAAGATGAGACAACACACGAAGTTGAGTTTACAAGAACAACACGATATTTTAACACTATTTTTAGGAAATCTTCAGTGAAAAACTATACGACTGGAAAAACTCTTATTTGACTGAAAATCACAAAATGCCAAACAGAGCAGGTGCTTTTTGAAATGTTTTAACTAATCTTGTAATGAACGTCCCTTCAGTTCTACATCCAGAGTGTGAATGATCACGTGCAGTAAAAGACGACAATGTGCAGCCACTGTAAAGGTTTGGCCACAGACTCATCTGACCGGCTTCTCTCCTGTAGGATTTCACCAGTCTCTTCAGACCTCAGGACTGTGCACGAATTGTGCATGAGCTTCTAACTTCTAAGTGAAGCTGTGTGTGACCTTCTATGCTGTTTTCACCCAAATAGCACTGCACCGGATGGTGACATCATCCAGCAAAGGCGCTGCATTGACCAATCACACACGGGGGACGATTGGTACGTGGATGCCCACAGGAAGAAGGCTTCTTTGTTTACCTAGTTAGCATGAGCAGTCACTGCTATTCACTTAACGCATCATAATGACATGACATTTTCATTAATACTGGAAGTTAAACAGTGTTTTTATCCATCAGGGCTGACACACTGGTAGTGTAGAACTGTTGCTAAGGTAGAGTAGGCTACATTAGCAGTATGGCTAACCAAAACACAACGGATGCTCACAGGTTGGAAATGTGAACAAATCCACTCGCACTGAGTCGTCACAATGCCTACAATGCTACCCCTATAACCCCTCAGCCCCTGAACAACACAGCCCCACATGTTAAAACATGGCAGGGAGTTGTGTTTTTCCCCGACTGCGTATGGTCACACTCTGCCATACTGGTTGCTGCTCTGGTTCTGTTATGTATTGATATCACCAGACAACCTTTTCCTCAATGAGAAATGTCCTGACACTTGAATAGATCTTGTGGCATGGGATCTCATCACACCCCTATTTAACAACAGAATCTGTTGAATTGTGTGCTGCATGTTTAAACCACAGGGTTGCAACAGTTGCAGGAAATACATGTAGCAGCAGTCTTAGTGGCTCTTAGTGACAGTCACATCAGTGTCAGTGCACTTGAATGCAAATTTTTTGTGTAAATTTAAGTTTGTTGAGATCACAAGTAGTTCACCTACATAAGCATTAGAAGAAAGACCCTGCAGCATCAACAGTGCCACCCGTTGGTGCTCCATATGTTTCAGGAGGATTTGTAGTTTCACCTTAAGAGCAGATCTTGCCAGGTAGGAAATCATTTTAAATACTGCTTCTATAGTTAACATTTATTTTTACTTTCCTTTTCTCCCACTTTGGAGTCCATTTATCAAACTGTGTTTTTCAGGAAGTTTCCAGACCAAGCTACAGGTGCCTTCTTCTTCTCTGAGGATTTTTGTCTGCACAGCCACAATTTCTACCATTTTTTAAATTAATTATGCCTTTGACTTTGCTGTCTGTCAACACTACACAGAAGATGTACTATCACCTGGATATCCTAACCCAGAGTAAGAGGGAGGTGAGACGTTTCTGGAGTGTTGATGCTCCAAAAGATGTGGATGAAGCACTCTTATTTAGATTTTAGACTTGACCTGGTCACCACTTTAATCTCCTGTCCTACTGTTGCAGATGCAGCTGAAGAACTACTGCACCTGTTGATGACATCCAACCAACTTTCCTTCCAAAACATGGCTTGTGTCTGAGCAGAATCTTATAGTGATGGAGCTCGTACCTTCAGCAGCCTGTACCCAGGCTCACAGGTGAACAGGATGTGATCTTTGAAGGAGTATTCTGATTGGATAGGATATATCAGGGCATTAGATGGGATCTCGGGTACCGGACACTGACTTCCTGCCAAGTCAAAATAAAAACATTTAAGAAAAATGTTTCTTTAAAAACACATTCGCTCACTACTACTCATCTGTTATTAGATCCTGTGGTGTCTTAATTAAGCTGTAAAGTTGTATTGTCATCTGTGGTGAACGGCGAACATAAACCTATAGCGGTATATGTGAGTCTCCAGCCAAGATTTTCTCCTGAGTTGTCGCTGTGGAAGAAGACGGTGACAGTGTTACTGCTGGTGTCAATGACTCCTGGCGATCGATCTCCACAGAACGGACCAAGCTCTCTGCTTCCTGCTGTAATCTGACACACAGATGTTTATTCAGAATTACAGATTACACAGGTGTTTGTAACTGTATGGGTTTGTTTGTTATTCTCACCTTGACATAGTCATAGGGGCAGCTGACATCAGGGTGGTCCTCCACGTCAAATGTGGCATCAAACTGGAGGAGGAGCCTGAAGCCTGGCTCCACCTCGATACGATACAGACACTCGGAGCTCTTTGGGTAAGGAGCAGGAAAATCGACACTGCTCAGAACACCGGAGCGTTCCCTGAACACACCGCCGCTGCACTCCACTGAAAACACACACAGTTGTGTGTCCATCACAGTGACTTAATTTCCAAGACACCTTAAAGAGTCTGTGGCACTTTTCTTTGTTTTCTGACTAATTTACAATGTTAAAGCAGTGAATTCTCATCTTAGACATGACCTAAAGCTCCAGAAATGAGTTGTATGTATGTTCTAGTACTTCCATGCACAAGCAACTCAGTTTATACACGTCTCGCAAACTCTCGCTCACGAGACTTTTTTTTTCTAACAAAATTAACTATTACTTGACAGTTTAAGGATTTCCTTGAATGATCATAAAATCCAGACCATTGAGTGTTCATGTGAGCTTGCCTGACATCCACTGGTGCCCCCACCATATTAGCAAAATGTTATATTGCCTTGTTTGTTATGCGTTTTCAATAAAGCTTATGGGCAGCACGGTGGCGCAGTGGTTAGCGCCGTTGCCTCACAGCAAGAAGGCGAGAAGGTTCCGGGTTCGGGCCCCACCTTTCTGTGTGGAGTTTGCATGTTCTCCCCGTGCTTTCGTGTGGGTTCTCTCCGGGTACTCCGGCTTCCTCCCACAGTCCAAAGACATGCAGCTTAGGTTGATTGGTGTCTCTAAATTGCCCATAGGAGTGCAAGTGTGTGTGTGTGTGTGTGGTTGTTCGTCTATGTGTTAGCCCTGCGATGGATTGGTGTACCCCGCCTTCGCCCGATTGCCAGCCGGGATTGGCTCCACCCCGTGACCCCGCTCAGGGACTAAACAGTAGAAAATGAATGACTGAATAAAGCTTTTTTTTTTTAAAAGATATCCACAGTCCCATTGTAAAAGTGGAATTTTTCCACTGCACCTGGTTTTGTGGATATTTTTGTCCTCCTGCTGCTGCACTGTGACCAGAGGATGTGGAGAAAGATACAGGGCCTGAGGTTACTGCATGTCCGGGAATGTTCCTGTTTTACCTGACCAGGTCTAACCTACAAGCAGCCACCAGTGAAACCCCCCACAGCTGTGACTGATCAGCTTATCAACACTGGATTTCCCCAGAGCACAGTACCTGTTTGTTCTGACTGCTTGAGGCCAGTGTGTCTGCTGCATGTGATGTGTTGGTGGTTAATGAGCTGATTAATGATCTATGATGTTACTGTCGGAGCTACGCTACCAGTTGGAATTAATTTCACTACTTTGGGACTGTATGTGGTCAGGTGGGAGAAGACACAGTGACCGGTTGGATTTACCGACCTTGGAGCTACTTGAAAGGGAGCTCGGTGGGACTTAACGATAGGTTTAATAAACACACGTCGTGTGTCTGTCAATGCCTTGTTTCTGTAATGTTGGAGATAATTGTGGTAAGGCTGGAGAAGTTACTATGTCTGCATTATGCCAGTTAAATCATGGGGTTTCTCAGTTACCTGCTTTGTTTAGAGTGTTTTACATCTCTTCATCGGTACATATACCGTTGTTTACCTATCCATGGAGGAGACATTCATATAAATTAATGCTGTTGTGGTTCGTTGTGCTGTCCAGTTGCGACACAACACCGACAGTACAAGGTGGGTGCGTTCACAAACTGTCCGCTTGTTTTTAGGAAGAGGCTTTCTGTTATTAACATTCTGAAATAATTATAAACTGTCTGGAGTTATGAGGGTGCCAAGCTAATCTAGAGGTACCCAAGATTAAACATTAAATGGCTGGAAACGAGCAAAATGAGCAGCCATGGGGACTTCGTGCTAAAATTTGTCTTATGTTATTGGAACTTGCTGTTTGTCCCCAAAAAGAAGTTGTGTCCCCACAGTGACTGTATACTGTGTCACCACCACATGACTAATGTATATAATTAGCTCTGTAGGTGCACATTACTGACAGTACACTGTTACCCATATCACCCTTCTTACATCCAGTGAACAACTCAGACCATCAGAAAAGAGTGAAAATGCAGTTTTCAGTTTGTCAGAAGATTTCACATGTGATCAGTGAAGAGCTCGCAGTTTTCAGTTTGTCAGATTTCACATGTGATCAGTGAAGAGCTTCATTACTGAACCCTCAGCTTCAACAGGCGTCTCCTCCATGCAGAGACATGCAGCACGTGTAAACATCAACCACCAATTAGCAGCTGTTATCAGTCAGGCAGAGGTTAGAAACCAGCAAAGCTGCATAGAGGCTACACAGCTGCAGCCAAACGGTTTATCAGTTCATCCAGGGTCTGATACCACGAGCATGTGACCTTTGTGCAGACGGTGGCACAAGAAGAAAGGTCGTGGGGTCATGACCCCATGAGCAGAGAACAGCAATGAGATCACCGTATTTACTGATAATCTGACCTGTAGATTTTAATGTTTCTGGGGTTCAAATTTGAGTATCCTGTTAAAGTGGGCATGGTAAGCGAGAGAGGCCTGTGTATCATATGACTTCACTGTAAACTCCTAAAATGTGCTTTTCAGACATAATGAGCTGTCAACATGTGAACTGTTTCTCAGCAGATTTGAATTCCAGCAAGCTGATCCTGATTAGAGTGGGCTGCCAACAAGTCACGTCTCCAACAGCACCACTGGCTTTACTTCAGAGTCAGACTTTACACAGAAGCCTCTCTGAAACCACCCTCAAGACAAATTCTACATGTTTATCTCCACTAATGTTTCTTTATTTAATGTTTATTCTACCGGGAAACTCCCACTGAGGTTTACAGCCTCCTTCTCAAGGGACCCCTGCAAGACAGCATTGCTGAGACTCTGAGGACAGATAAACCCTCAGCTTGTTGTTTGTTCTGTCCCACACCTCGAGTTGCTATCACCTGCAGGAGGCGACTCACCTCTGCAGGTGCGGTTGTCAGTGTGCAGCAGGTAACCATAACGACAGGAGCAGTAGTATCCTCCGATGTAGTTGTGACAGAAATGATCACAGAACAGGTCTTCATCACTGCGGTCGCTGCACTCGTCTACATCTGGACAGATGAAGGGAGGAGGAAGAAGAAGACAGGAGACCGTTACAGGACTGATGCAAGGGATGAAAAGACAAAAGTGAGCACACCGCTGTGGTTGCAAACTCCCCAGGAATGTTTTTAACAGGAGCTCAGGGCCTGTGTCTGTGAAGCATGTCAGAGTATTAAATGAGTCCTGGGCGGCAGGCGTCCTCAGAGCGACACCTTTCTGTTGATATTTCCAGGACTTGTATGACATCTGATATGTGTCTGAGCTGCCTGTTGGAGGTCGGAGGACGGATATAGGAACAATAATCAAATCATTTTTGAGACTTCACAAACTTTATTGCAACAGGGGAAATGCAGCTGTGACAGCACCTCACTGCAAACCACTGTTGGCAGCAATTAGCATCAGACTACAACTTTTATATTAGGAACAGGTAACACCTGACTCGGACTAGACCAACAGTCCTGCAGTAAACCCACCCACGTGAAGGGTGTGTTCCATTTGTGTTCAGACTGGTTCACGAAGCTGCTGGTTCACCTGTGAGATCACCGTGGAGGCTGCAGTTTGTGCTGCTGTTCACCTGGTCTGTTAATCTGAGAGCTGTCTCTGGGGTTTAGCATCACTAATATGAATGTTAGTGGACATTAGATGACCTGCAGCTGCATACTGGCGGTTTCAGCTCCAGTTGTAAGCCTGGCACTCTGGTCCTCACCCTCAGCACTGTAGTGAGCCATGAACCCGGAGTAGCTCTCCTCGTTGGAGAAGTCCGAGGAGAACAAGATACTGAGGGAGTTTCTGGGCGAGTTGATAACCTGTTGAGCTGGCACCGCCTCCGTGTCTGTCTCCTCGGCACCACAGAACAATGCCAGCACCTCCCCCTCTGCCTCCACCTGCAAACAAAACACATGAGAAACCACTGACACAAACAGCAGAGGAGTTAAGCCTCTGTAAAAC